AAATGTCAAGAACCTTAATGAGTGGCTGGGAAGGTGGCTCAGTGGTAGAATGCTTGCCTAGCATGCATGAAGCCCTGGGTTCAATTCCTCAGTACCATATAAACAGAAAAATCTGGAAGTGCTGCTGTGGCTCAAAGTGGTAAAGTGATAGCCTTGAGTAAAAGATGCTTGGGGACAATGCTTAGGCTCTGAGTTCAAGCCCCAGGACTGCCTCCTCCCCCTGCCCAAAATAAAAACAAAAACAACTACAACAAAAACCCCTTAATCCGGTATTTGTCTTTCCCTACAGAAAACAAGTTGAAAGTAAATAGGGATCAATGTTTAAGTAGTCTTCTCTACTATACTTTTTATAGTAGGTGATTGGTATGTGCATTTTGTGGCACTGAGGTGCTTTTTTTTTTTTTTTCTAGTGACCAGACATTGTAATTAGCTCCTTTATCCTTGATTTCTGTTGGATCCTGGGCTAGTGTCTAACTTCAGAAGAACTGTCCTAGGCAGTATATTCCAGGTGAATTTTCTTACTAGGAAAAAAAACTGTGGTAGAATATAGCACAGCATTCTTACCAAGCCATTTAGAAAACAAGCCCTGTGAATTTTAAGTTAAATGGGTGTAAGGAATGTGCAGGCCATATTTTATATAAGGCTTTCAGAATTACATGGTGGGACAGATATATGTTATTCATTGGCTGCCCATGGCCACTGGTCTGTATTGATAATTTCTTGTGGCCCTCAAATGATGTTATAAATAGCCAAGTGGCCCATGGCGATGAAAATTCCCCACCCCAATAGAAATTTCAAAATGTGCAATAAATTCTGATGTGCTAGTTTTTCCATGAGATGAATTTGTAAAAATTTTTTTGTCTTCTTATTTGGCTCATTGAAATGATCATAACCTCACCATTAGATTAAATGTCTACGGATCCTTCTTTAACTCAGGGAATCTCAGGGGATCTTCTTCCTATCTTTTCTACTTCTCTATAATCCAAGGTATCTATATTACTCTAAATGTTCCTATCAATTTATCAAATAATAGTAAGGGTTATTCCTTGAAAGACTATTGGAAAGCATTGTGTATAAAATCTATAAAGCATTTAGTCTAGTGCATGGAACTCACCAAACAGTCGTTATTTCTTTATTTCATTTTGAAATATACGGCCCTTTAAATCAAATGTGAAAGCTAAAAGATTGTTTGGGGAGTAGTATTAGAAAGGAAATACCATCAATAATTCAGAAACAGTCTGTTTGACTTTTAAAACCTATCTGGCTATGGATCTCAAGAGGTGACTCTGTTTGGATCCCATGTGATGGTTAGATGTACCCAAAAGCCATGGTTTTCATAGAATATTTGTTAGGAAAAACCCCAGCCTGCATATCTGCCATGATTCTCCCCATTCCTGGGGAGGATTCAAATTATACATCACCAGAAGGAACCCTTTCCTCTATCATGTGTTCCAGTGGTTGTCCTGCTCTTTGAGGCATGTCATCTTCCTGACACTTCTACCCAACCAAAATCAAGTTCATTGTAACAGAAACAGCTGCATCCACACAAACTCCCTCCTCTTCCTTGTTTAGGTCAGTGGCAATAGAATGTGTTCTGGCTAAATGTCAGATATTTCCTTTAAAATCAACTCTAACTTACCTCCTAGGCTGTGCATCTTCTTCTGGTCCCTTCACAGAGGACCTGCTCCAGAACTATCCTTTTTCTAACCCCCTTCAGAGAAGGAACAAGCAGGGTCAGGCTCCATGGGCCTCCTCATAAATCCTACAGCACTTTATAAAAAAAAAACAACTATTGTTATTATAAAGATGATGTACAGAGGGGTTACATTTACATAAATCAGGTAAAGAGTACTTTTCTTTTTTTATTGTGAAAATACTGTACAGAGGGGTTACAATTACATGAGCAAGGTAATGAGTACATTTCTTATCAAGCATTGTTGCCTCTTCCTTTGTTTCCCCTTCCCATCCCTTCCCATCTCCCCCCTCCCCACCTCCTCTGACCACTGCCCCCCCTTCTTGTCCCCCACCCCACCCTGCGGGCGCCAAATTTGTATAGTTCGTTTTTTTTCCAAGTCTTTCCATTTCCTCACAAATGGGGCAATGCCATTCTTGCTGATGGAGGCATAGAATTCCATTGTGTAGATATACCACATTTTCTTGATCCATTCATCTACTGAGGAGCATCTGGGTTGGTTCCTTATCTTAGCTATGGTAAATAATGCTGCAATAAACAGTTGTGCTGGTAGCTTTAGTGTGGTCTTGTTTGTGATCATTTGGGTAAATGCCCCAAAAGTGGGATTGTGGGTCATAGGGGAGCTCTATGTGAGTATGTTTCTTTGTGGACAGTGTCACCCCTTCTCTTGCTCTCTCCTAGTTCCCCCCCCATCCCCAAACACAAGTTGTATAGTTCATTTTCTGTGATGTTTCTAGGGAGTACTACTACTACTACATTTGTTCACTCTTTGTCCCTTCAGTTCTGTTCCCCCATTACCCTCCCAAATACAGATAAATAAACAAAGAGGACAAAAAGAAAATAAAACAAAAAGTAACAATGAAAGAAAAAAAACAAAGACCTTGTTTCCATTTCCTGGAGTCCATTTCGATAATTATTTTACATAATCAGAAGCACATAAGACATTGTGCCTTTGTGTTCCTCTCCTAAGGATAACCTCCTTTGGACTCCCTGTATATGAATGCTTAGAGTCCTGTATAATTTATCACATCTCAGGGTATTTTAGATGTAGCTTCTGCATATGAGAGAAAACATGTGCCATTTGTCTCTCTGAACTTGGCTTACCTCACTTCACATGATTTCTTCTAGGTCCATCCATTTCTGTCTTCTCCTGAGAAGTCTTTCCTTGGCTTCTTTGCCCATTTAGTGATTGGTTTATTAGCTTTGGGAGAGGTTACTGTCTTGAGCGCCTCATATATTTTAGGTAATGGGCCTTTGTCAGATGTATTGCTGGTAAAAATCTCCTCCCAATCTGTTGACTGTCTTTCTAGTTTATTAACTATGTCCTTTGACTACAGCACCTTTTGGTGGAAGAAGTAGAATCTTAAAGTCAGAACTGACTACTTGTAAGTTCTTACTGAACATTTCCTTAGTTTCAGTTAATAGTAATATTAGCCTTTCCCTTTCAAGATTTAAAATACATTGTTATGACAAATAGCACTTTCCAAACAAAACTCTCTATTTAAGGAGAAGATAATCAGCTAAAAGAAACAAAGCCAATTAGTTACATGCTGTTAGTTTTGTTCCCTATGCAACACATTTTCTTGATGTCCACAGAAGCAGCTTATTAATTAGAATTAAATGAGACAAATGGCATCCTCAATTCTTCTCTTTGTTGCCTGTGATCTTTTCTGTGCTTCTATTTTAAATGATTCTCGTTTGGCCCATCAAACCTGACTTACATTCTTTGTCTTCACGAATTTCTCCTAAGTTTGTTCTTCTATGAATATTAGGAGTATTCTTTGATGGTTTTGCTCCATGAATGTCTAGCTCTACTTGTGTAAGAGTTGTTTTTGCTTATGCAGAGCATTTTGTTATGAGTCACCAAAGACTATTTGCTGATTTTTGTTGATTTTCTCCCTTACATTTGACCACTATAAGTACACACAGGTAGTCAGAGAGTTTAGCAACTTAAAAAATGATAGACCATTAAACTATTATAGCCATTACATGCAAGGTTTCTGTACATTGGTTGTACTTGAAGGAACAATCTATTGCTTCTTAAAATAAGAAAACCAGTGGCAGCTTGTTGCCTCTCTGGAACTGTGTAGAGTGTATAATCTGTATTCCTGGAGCTACTGTCTGCCCCGTAAATGCCCCTGAGAAGGCAGTCTTTACAAATAGCCAGTGAGCATGGCAGACACATTCTAGAGTATCATCCATGCCTATATTCTGACTCACACATATGTTTAGTTTCTCTGTTTTCCATTTAGAAAGTAGACTTTCTGGGTCCAACAGTAATTTGACTTCTGCAGTGCCTGTTGTTAGTTTAACAAAAGATCATCCTTATCACTTGTTAAAACCAACTTGAGCAGGAAGACTCAATTACTACTTGTAAAGTATTTCAGCATTATATCATAGTCATATCAACATCATTCAACATCAATTAATTGCTACATTACTTAGAATTTAGATCCCTCACAATCTTTTGCTAATCAGATGGCATGATCAATAACTGCATAATATTCATCAACATTTTATACCATTACTTCTGAGTCTTCAGAATATAAAATAGAAACATTTTAAGTGAGATGAAGTAACTATTAGAAACACCTAAAAGAGACTGAGACATTAAACAGTTTCTATCTCCTAGTCTTTCAGCCTTAACAATCTTGAAGTCTAAATTCTTCTTTAAATAAATCTCTCCGGAAATTTTCTATGAATTTTGGTTTATACATTGTGGAGCTGAGTTTCAAGTAAGGCATCCAACAGTAACTGGGTTAGAAAATAATTTTACCGTTCCTCCTTACTTCTCTTTCTTGCCAAACCTTCTAATTCAGGGCTATATTTCTTGTCTCTTTAAAATTTCCTCAGATTTCTCTTAAATGTCACTAATTTTAATAGCTCAGCAGTGGCAGTGCAGCTTTCTGGCTGTATTCTGATAGCAGCATCAAAGCAAAGAGCTAAAGTTCTACTCACTTTGATTGATGAGCTCATTTTGTTACAGAGGACAAATTGGATTTTTTTTTATACTGGTAATAAAAATTAATGTGTGATGTTGCTTTTCGGATGTTATTGGATCTCTGCCTTAATACAGATTTCAGCAATAAAAGCACTAACAGATAACTTGACCAGAAAGTTACCTCCTTCCCCTTTGAACTACCCTCAAAAGTAAAAGGTTCTTTTCCAATTTTGTAATCTCTGTACGTTCATGGGTTGTTTGCATGAGGTTTTGGGGTGGAAAAAACAGTGGCTTCAGGGTAACAGTATAATAGTCTGTGTTTTAATTTTCCCCTCTAATTGTGATCTTTATTTCTTGTCTTTGCAGCACCTCCTAGGTTTACACGAACTCCCGTTGATCAAACAGGGGTCTCTGGCGGAGTTGCTTCTTTCATTTGCCAAGCTACAGGAGACCCACGACCTAAAATTGTGTGGAACAAAAAAGGAAAGAAAGTCAGCAACCAGAGATTTGAGGTATTAGGTCCATTGTTCTGTTTCTCTGCGGGAAGCATGTATCTGCTCTGTCTTCTCATTTGAATTTTACTTAGTTGCTTTACTAAGCTAGAAGGTGGCCTAAACACCTCAAGATATGGCTGTCTTTATGTTGCTTGTGGTTAAAACAGTAACTCCAAATGGCTTTTAAACACAGAGAACTTAGGGGTTGATATGGATGACTTTTCTCTGTAATTAGACCAGGGATCTCAAAAACTGCTCTGGCGTTTGGGGCTGTGGCTCAGTAGGAGCTTGTTCCTTGCCTTGCACAAGTCCCAGATTCAATTCCCAGCACTGGTGATGGGGGTTAAGGGATTAGAAACGCATCTGTCAGCTTCATTCTCGGACTAATTTCCCTTACAAACGCAAGATGGAACCCCACATCCTCTAGAGGTCTCATGAAAATTGATCTCTTCCAGAAGCTTCCCATCCCACTGGCTTTTATTGAGTGGCCTGGTTATTTCTGAAGCAATCTGCATGAAGAGTAGATGGTGTTGGCCAACTGGTTTAAGCCTATCTACCTCCATAGCTATCTACCTATGTAGCGGAGAATAGAGTCACTTCATTCAAATCCTGTTGCTGAGTGTGAAGTAATAGTATTTTCCCAGAAGGAAACTAAAATTTCTGATACCAAGAGAAACGAATAGATACTGACAAGCAAATGCCTACTATGCCTCATATCTGTGACTAGAAGCAATGTGAATGTAAATGAGAAATTTCCTCATGTGTCTTAGTGTAATGTACTACCTGTAAGAAACATACACATACAGGTTAATATTGCAAGTAAACCTGTTTTTCTTTTCTTGAGAAAGCTCAGTACATTGAAATCATATGAACTACAGTTCAGATATCATTTTATGAGTATTTGAGGAGGGAGATAATATAAAAAATTGCTCATTCTGAGGAGAATACGTGATGAGTTATACAAACTACAGTGGAACTAGTCGTAATCACACCTATAAGCTAAGACATGAAGAGAATAGTTTGCTTTTCTAAGGAACACAAAGATCTCTAACCTATGACAAAGTTATAAAAATTTACTTCACTTTTACCTGATTTTCTAATCTATTTTATGGCCAATTCTCAATTTGGGAAATGGAAAGTGATTTCCAGTTAAAAGACATAGAACAACTATAAAATCCAAAATGAGTTTCACTCGCTTTTGTCTATAGAATGTTTATAAATATGTGGATCAAATTCATAAATGATCTAAATACAACCATGACACTTGAAATCATAAATGATAAATTTACAGGTGATGAATTTTACATTATTTTCTTGGAAAATTAGATTCATACTATCATTTAAATATAAACATGGTTTTAAAAATTTAAACTTTAGGGCTGGGAAGGTGGCTCAGTGGTAGAGTGCTTGCCTTGCATGCATGAGGCTCTGAGTTCGACTCCTCAGCACCACATAAGCAAAAAGAAAAAAGCTGGAACTGGCACTGTGGTTCAAGTGGTAGAGCGCTCGCCTTGAGCTGAAGAGCTGAGGGACAGTGCCCAGGCCCAGAGTTCAGGCCCCATGACCAGACCCCCCCCCAAAAAAAATTAAACTTTAAAACCGGAAATATATTTCCTGCACTCTGTGCTGAAATGAAACACATAAGTGTGCACATGTGAGTGCATGTGTGTGTAGTGTGTACACATGTGTATGTATACCATTCGGATGCAAATTGTTATAATTTGATGTGCTTCGTATTGACAGTGGCATCTTAACAAAATGTTGTTAAAAAGTAAATGATCATGGTAAACATCTCAAAGCATGAGCTCTGTCTTTTTCTACCATAATTCCTAATGAGAACCATGTAAACAAATCCAATGGAAATTACTTTTACACAAGCACTTACATCAAATAAAAACAAGTTGCTGTTGAAAATCCTTAAGAATCTATAATAGTGGATTTATTTATCCATTATCAATACACATTCAATCCATATATCTACAAGGCCTAGAAGAGCAATAGATAAGGCTGATTTTCCCACGTGGTAAGCCTGAAATATTACTATTCATTAAGTGTCCACATTGGAAAACACAACACCAGCTTGTGATATGTGCTATATTAATTATTAGCTAAATGCAGAGAAGGTATCATTACAGGAAACGCTTTTAAAAAGTAAGCATACAGTGACATTTAACAATAATTTAAGAAATTAATATGTGTACTAATGTCTATATATTTCACTAAATTAAACCACAATATGCTTATACAGCTTCAAAAAATATGTGATATTCAAAAAATATTCTTATCACTGTAAAACTTTTGCTTCCTAAGCTACATAGTTAATCCATGTTAAATTGTGAGTTTAATAGAGTTGGAGATAAACCAGGTTGCTTTCAGGCATCTGGGTGCACTTATATTGAAAATGAAATTTGCAAAGAAATAAAAGTGTATGTATTTTTAGATATTCATTGTACATACTTCATTGTATGTTAATGCCAATACAGATACTTTCTCTATCACCTACCCACTCACCCACATACACACAGACACAGACACACATACACATATACATACACACATACAATTCTTGTCTAAACATTATATAAATACATTTACAAGGCACTCCAAGTTTATTCTCATATTTGATACATACTATTTTTCATAAGGAAAAATAAAGACAATAAGAAATCCCAGCATTTCAGTGAGCTGCTAACAGTACACAACAAGCTGATAGAAAAACTGGTAGATGACTATAGGTGTGTATGTGTGTGTGTATATATATAGATATATATACATATATTTACCACGATAACCACTTTTTTGGTTAAAGCAGTCCTGGAATTAGTTGACAGTGGCTAGGATTACTAGTGTTGTTGAACTCTTTCTCAGTAGAGTTCATAATGGGAGTGAATTTGGGCCCAGTGTTTAGGACATTAATTTTCTGCCTGGTGAAGCAAACCTCCATTTTACAGCAAGAATGTCCTAAAAATGCAGAAAATGCTAAGCTAGAACAAATACCAGGATAATTTATGGCTAAATTAATGCACACCATCAGGCTTTTGGTTTGTGAAAGCTGTCTCGTTGGCTGCCTAAGTACTGGATTTATGCAGTTCCTCTTCATGCTCTGCTCATCTACTGTGCTGGATGAGACACTTTGAACGAGCAGAACTGTTTGTTGGTGTAGTCCTTAATACTTCACCTTATAATCCAGTTATTAAATACATCCACATGAGCATAAGCACCTTCAGAGAAAGAATAGTTTGAACAGCTTAGTTCTCAGACCTGCAAGGTTTCTTACAAAATGAATAGGCTTCAATCATTTCATATCTTCATGAGGGAATCGCAGATGGTTTCCAGTAAAGATTTGAAATCTACAGTTTTCCATTTGTAGTTCTGCTTCATTCTTGTTTAGAGGATTCATCGTTAAATCTGACCCAGTAATTGATTTCACTAGTATATCAAAATTCAGTCTTGAAATGATGGTGAGTTTACTCAGAGCCTCGTGGCTGGCACACCTCTGTAATAAAAGGTTTAGTTGAGAGGTGGGCAACTGTAACAACACCTGTGACAGCTATTGTTTCCTCTAATAGGTAATAGAGTTTGATGATGGATCTGGATCAGTTCTCAGAATTCAGCCTTTGCGGACTCCTCGGGATGAGGCCATTTATGAATGCGTGGCCTCGAACAATGTGGGAGAGATAAGTGTGTCCACCAGACTCACAGTTTTACGTGGTAAGTGCTCAAGCACAAGGTTGTTTCTTGTGCCATTGTTGCAGTTGTATAGCTCAGGTGTTTTTCTACAGGACCATTAAAAAACTAGCTTCTGATGATGCTTCAATGGGAATGAATTTGCATTTTATATGTAAATTTATAAGGATCGAATGTGAATCAAATGTTGAAAGTCTTGTTTTGGGGCTTAAAGGAAAGCTAATCATGGGGAAGGGAATGGGGGAAGGCAAAAAGAAAGAAGCAATGATTGCACATGCCAAATTCTGTTTAGATTTTGGTTAGAGCGTTTGAAGAGGAAACATGGTCTGCTTTTATTTGTTAACATTACTTGTTCATTTTTTTCCACACTTTCTTCAGCAGCTGTGTTTCAAAAAGTTCAGAAGCTGAAACTGATGTTTATAAAATTAAGCGATACGTTGATATAAAAATGAGTTCTTCACAGGCCATTGGCCAAAACCAAAAATAAGGAAGACATCCTTCTTGTTTGTTTCAAAAATAGTCTTTTTCTTTACTTTCTTTCATCTTTTTTTGACCAATATCTATTAATTCAAATACAATATGATGACAAATGCCTTGTAGATCTCTTTGTTGATACAATTGGACCAAAGCATGGGATGCCATGCAGTGTTCACTTGTCAGACTTCCTTCCACAGACAGTCATGGAGTTTGAAGGCTGATAGTCAGCTGTTGTAGATTGCTCATTCAGTCTTTGTGTAGAGAAAAGAACTTTGCCTGATGGCACACCTAGCAGTTAACATTTCTCTACTAATGCATTAATATTTCTGTGACTCTGTCTCTTTCATTCCCTCATTTCTCTTTGCATGACTTACTAGATTTCAGAATTTAGCAGGTATTTTTCTTAAGATGATGCTTATGTGATTTTAGAAAATAGCTGAAAATAAAATTAAATGCACAGTTAGGTTAGTAAACAAGAAAGAGAAATTTCGAGGTGATAAAAACAAGGAGAGAATCATCTGAGAGAAGACAACCAAAATGTTATCACCCAGGATGATAAGGGTTATAGGTTTAGGGCTGCAGTTATAGCTCCCAGCATGATGAAATATATGAAGAATAAAATGACAGTAGAAGGAGCACTTTTCTACATATATCAATATATGGATATATGTGCATATACATATGATACATATGATATATGTGAACATATGAGATATATGATATATGTGTATATTTATATGAGATCTATCATATATAATATGTATTCTATATGGTGCATATATATATGATAGGTATCATATATGTTTATATCTAATACTATTAAAATTATGGGGCTGGGAAGGTGGCTCAGTGGTAGAGCGTTTGCTTGCATGCATGAGGCCCTGGGTTCGATTCCTCAGCACCACATAAGCAAAAAGAAAAAAAAAGCCAGAAGTGGCACTGTGGCTCAAGTGGTAGAGCGCTAGCCTTGAGTTGAAGAGCTGAGGGATAGCGCCCAGGCCCAGAGTTCAGGCCCCACAACTGGACCCTCTCCCCAAAAAATTGTAGGTTTTTTTTTTTTTTTTTTTTTTTTTTGGCGTATCCACCTCTGAAGCAAATCGGACTCATTTGTTAATCTTTCAAAATTTTAATACTTTCTGATTCACCTAGTTTAGAATTAGGTCAGAAGTAAATTATAAAGGTACAATAAAATGAAATTTGTCATAAACTTTTTGGTTTATCTCATTCTCTATAGCCTTTGAATTTCTTCAAAGGAAATAATAGCAAGCATTTGCTTGACTTAATCTTTATGCATTTTGATGAAGACATTAACGAAAACTTGGCAGAAAAATATCATTTTGCTTAGAAATTCACAAGGATTTATGTTTTCCTGTCTCCCAGCTGGCTGGAGTTTCCTCATTTTGTCTGCTTTTATACAGCTAGTCTCCACATAACACCAACGCATTTGAAAATTTTAATATGATCTTGACTTTTCTTTGTGAATATCTGTCATATATAAGTGCATTTGAGTGAAATTTATGATTCAAGTAAAGTAGTTAACCCTTCCTATATTTTTTAATGACTCTTAGTGGTTCTTGAACTGTATTATATGAAAAATTCAAAGGTAATTTTGGATAATGAAAAGTAATCTAAACATAACCTTAAAATAGAGTAATCTTAGTTTATTCTCTTTGGATAAAAGAAACAAGCATAAATTACCTTTGTTTCTGCGAGTCACCTCTATGTTTAAAAATGTCAAAATGTTGATAATTCTATAAATAATAGACTTTAAAAACTATTTTAGTGACACTGACATTTATAGACATCAGTATCATAACCATTAAATAATTCCATGAGAAAGAAGAAAATGTCATAGCTGATGAGCTTCATGGGCATTTTAAGTTTACTTTTCTCTTACAAATCATGTTGGCAGACACTCAAGTACTCTGTTCCACAATAGATGGAGACCACTTTACACTTTCCATCCGGTAGCCCTCAACAGATGCCCATTTTTGTCTCCATGAGTCATTTATTTTCTCCCTACATTGCTTACAAATGCCAAAAATGTGCCAACTGTCATGAAGGTTTTTGTGTAAGTAGGCTGGATGGAGATCATTCATTTATTTCACACAGGCTACTGGACAACCTAATTAATTGGAGATTCAAACATCTGACCTGTATGGCTAATGCAGAAGACATTGAAATAAGATCCTGACCACCCATGTGCATTGAAAGGAACATTTCAAGGAAAACTTTCAGTAGCTTGTTTCAAATCACCCTAGCTCTCGAAACCTGTTTTTATAAGGAAGGATAACCATAAGCTCAAGGCTTGAATGTGCTCTAAAATGAGACAAAGTATTTGGGGAATTAGCCATCTACTCTAGAGAATGTGGTTCATGAATGATGAAGTGGTAGAAGACAGGGTTGAAGGTTATCCAGTAGGTCATTTTTAGTTTTTTACTTGTCCTGACTATGAGAACACAAGCACATACTATAACTCCTTAGTTGTTTAGCACTTCTAGAAGTGCTAAATACGTGCACGTATTTTCTCATAGCAGAACTAGAAGTAAAGTCTGCAGGTCTCAGTGCGCCTATCTAACAGTAGAATTGTGCTATGGACAGATTTATGTATTTGGTTACAGGGCATGCAAAGAACCAGAGAAAATGTTTTAAGAGGAATTTTTCATCCAAATAAAATTGATTTTATCTGAATTCTTAATTTAGTGGCCACAATTTCTTTCCAGCCAAACATTTGATTATGAAAACATATAATACAAATTTACACAATGATAATTGCAGCAAAAAATGTTCTCTCATATGTTTTGTCAGCTCCTGGTCAGAAAAAATGAGAACTCACCATTGGCAAAGCTTTCTTCCTATTGAAAGTAGTTTCCCTTGGTACTAGAGGAAAAGCTTCAAAAATCACATTGGTTTTCTTTTGGCTGTTTGTTTTTTCTTGTTTATATAATTCCTCTTGAGTAAGAGAAAATCCTAAAAAAGGATTTGTCCTCCAATCCTCTGACTAAATGTCATATTTTTTGAACTTAGTTATTTTCATGAGTCTTTCTTTTAGGGTAATAATCAGAAAATACATACTTCACTATCATTCAATCCAGCATGTCATACTTCCTTTTTTAAGCTTACTGAATTATTTTCAGTTTTTATTTCAATTCTTTGACTGCCTTGTTTTTTGATTAATTGTTCTTTAATTTCCTTTTTTTAAACCTCATTTGCATTGAGAGGAGGCCTCAGTTGGGGATTAGAACAGTTAGATCACCTCTCTCTAAACTTTTTATGATTCAGTGACACACTTAATTCAGGAAGTCAGGGCTTGCAAGATGGAGGAAGAAGGAGAAAAAAGCTCTCGAAGGTGACTGTAACTGAGATAGTAAAACACATAGTGAGCAGTTGACTGAGACCGAGGAAGCACTGCATTGGGAAGTAGGCAGAAATGTTTGCATAATATGTCTGTTTCAAAAAATGTAAGCCATTAGAGCAGTTGTTAAAAAAATAAAAGAAACCACACAACTTTTACAATCTTTCTGGGAGATGGCAGTCAACTATCTCTGCCATTGTGCAGTACCCTGTGATCAGAATTAGCATGTTCATTACAGTCTCATTTTATTAATGCCTCTTTTTGAAGATGAACACAGTTGTCCCCGCTGTGAAAATGGTACTTTGCCGTTTATGTTATAAAGTGGTCTCGGCTGGGGATCCAGGCTTGGAACATTAAAGAACAAAGCACAGCTGCTTGACTGTCACACAAAAGGATTTTTATGAAAGACTGAAACAAAGGGAAGGGTGGCCAACACAGAGCAAACTTGCTGACAATTATGGTACAGAGTGAAGATTAGTTGAAAATGCTTATAAAGTAGTTGGGTACTTGGAATAAAATGATACCAAAATGATAATGCATGCCGGCATAATCCTGTGTTTCCATGTTGGAAAGAGATGTCAGTGGGCAGTCACTTTGTGTAAACAGACAGTTTTGGGTTTAGGACTTAAATATGACTCCTCTGTACCTATCAATGCTATAAAGTCAGGAGCAATGTGGACAGTAGTTCATGGAAGATCCTAGCAAGGGCCTCATTCAAACTCATAACACTTGGGAGAAAACATATGTGTGAGTAGAATCTCTGCTTGTTTCTTTGCAATTTATCTTCTCAGGACACCATGTGGGTGCTATATGCGCCTCCATGGAGTCATATCACTTGTTTTAGAGCATTGAGGACAAGCCTTAAAATTGCTCACGGAGAATGTATGTGCTTGTAAATAATTGTCCTTGAGTAAAAGTACCATACCTTTTTTTTGATCTCATACTCAATGCTATTTTTAGTGATTTTGAAGTGAATATAAAGCCATGTCAGTGTTTACAGCTGATTGCCTTAATGGAACCATGGAAATGCTGAGCCAGAAAAGGATTTGATGTTTCCCTAGCCATAACCTTCATATTTTAAGAAATCTAGTTATAAAGAGCTAGAAATGGTTTATTCTTATTCATACAGCTAGAATTTCTTTAGGTTTTTCCACATCAAAAATGGAACCTGCTATATTATTTGTGACACTGT